TAGGGAAAAGGGGATTATATTTATTAGTATCTGGTAAATTTTTGAAGCAGATTAAGTTTATATAAGATGGGTTCCACCTAATCAAAACAGAATCGGTGCTGCTGACATTTAAGATTAAAAAACGCTATGAGGCAATTTTAAAATGAAAACCAAGGAAATCATGCCAGGTGTGGAAACTAAATTGTTCAGATTGATGTATCTTTGTAGTATGAAATAAAAGAAAGCCTATGACTTAGAAAAATGGATAGAATAGAAGGTAAGAAAAAAACAAAGGAAAACAATATCCCAGGTAAGCAGAGCATATAAAAATACACAACTAGATCAAGACAAAAGCCTGAGTATGTCTATACGAATACTTCAGTTTTAAAATGTGGTTTAAGTGGCAGAACCATTGGTGAATGCCTTTTTAAAAAAAAAACAAAATATAATAGGCGTTATGGAAGTTTGATGAAAAGAAGATATTCAGTGGAACACTAAGACAAGCATATACATTTTACATTTACACATTAATGCTAAAGAAATTACAGTGTCAAACAGAGTATGTGTCAACAGTTGTGTTGTACTACAGAATTTCAATGGCTGCAGAATTTCTTTCCACACTAAAAGGAACAGTATGCTGTTAGTGCTATGCTATCAATCACCTGACCAAAAGGAGGTAAGTGAAATGCTAGAGATGACCAGAGAGCCTGAAGGACAGAGAAACAGTAACAATGGGACAGTCCAAACATACTAGACTAGGTAAACATCACAGTGAAACATGATGAGGCTATGTCTGCACTGGTAGACTAAACCAGGGCAAGGCAAAGGTTTGAGCTCTGGAATGAGATCATAGACTCTGATCAATTGTTACTGAACTCTTTGTCCATGTCAATGAGCAAGCCAGGGACAGTTTCCAATATGCAGTGTGAAAGAGGCCACCTTCTGCTGTTGGGGAAAGAGCTTGGATACATGAATCTTCCATGACTGCTCCATGTCAATTGCTCTTACAGCCAGAAATGAACCTTGGTCTACTTTATTTGCTAGTATGGATCTAGTCACAGATTCTACTCTTTTAGCCACTACAAATGATTTCTTCTTGGAGCTATTTGTGAAAGCACTCACAAGAAAAGAAACAATCTGATTTAGTCCTGAATAATATGCAAGACTTACTTAGTACAAGTTGAAACAACAAAAGACACAAGTTTATTATGGCAATGTTTTAAGGGCGTACATAAAAATAATAAGATTGGCAAAAATAAGCCCAAGAAGCTGTTAAAAGGGTCAAATGTTTGCAGTGCCAAAGGGGCTGTTTAAAGAATCATTTAAAAACTCAAAAGTGAACTTAGGCTTTTTCCAAGTCTAC